TGTCTATGGGCAACGGTCACTTCGCTCGTTTGCCACCTTAAGATATAAAAAAAAACTGAACCAATAGTCCGCGTCGAAGATTTAACATTGAGTTTGTCGCGAATAGTTCGATGTTGCTTTGTGTCGGCCTTAAGGTAGAGTTGAGGTCCCACACCTGACGATGTTGTGGTCACCCTAGTGTATACACTGCAGTGCTTAAGAAAAGTTTTAAACAACATCTGGACATCGCAGACTAAAGTATGCGCGGCTTAAATTGAAAATCTAAAATACGATGCTTATAACTAGGAAATATTTTCTAAAATAAACTTTGTTACCTGAACTAAAGTAACTAGATGGTGGGTTAAAATTTTTTCAAAAAGATGGAGGTTCTCAATTTAACTGCATTTTTTTGTTCGTCAATAACTCCGTCCCTAGTTGTCCGATTTTCATAATTATTTTTTTATTCGAAAGATATTGTTCGTTATTTGATCCCATTTTTTGAAACATTAAAAAGTATCCAGTAGTTTTTGAGTTATTCTTAATAAACCGAGTCAAAGAGTCGGAGTAAAATAAGACAATTTTGCTTTCTTGGCTTACGCAGGCTAAACTATAGGACCTACATAAAAATGATGTATTAACGAATTGTAGCTCTTTAAATTTGCTAAATAAAATTCCTTCCAAGAATATATCTATCTTTTATAGTTTTCTCACAATCACCACTTTTATATTACAAAGTTTTATTGTGAGTTTGATTTTTTTCAATAATAGATGGCGCTATCTTCAATTTAATTTATTTCGTTATTTTTTCTTGTTATTTGTACACAAGTATGTAAAAAAAACATTTTAGAGTCTGCAAAAATAATAAGAAGGTACTAATTAATTTTCAAGCGCATTTTCATAGGTCTTTTAGCAAACATACCCCTTTATTGTAAAAAAAATTATCCCCGCCTCTAAAATCCGCTTCGTTAACCCTTAAAAATAAGGCGAAGGGATGATAAGGGTTGGCTATTTTAGATTATCCCTTCAAGACATTAATATGAAGAAACATATGAATAAATCTCTCCATGTATTGGATTATTTTGAAAGGATTGGGTCTTCATTTTAGGTAACTAACTTTATAAAATAGACGGATTTATCGAATTTATTTTGAATAATCGTAGCAAAGTGATGCTAGCAAAAACCTCGTGAATCTTTTTACCATATCATTATTTGTAAAATATAACATAGCTGTTGCCCGCGACTCCGTCTGCACAGAATTAAAAAAATAATAATTAGTAGCCTATATCTTCCGAGTGCTTTACTTGCAATCTGCAGGTCCTGGGTTCGAATCCCGCCATGTACCAATGTGTTTTTCGATTACCGATTTACATATGTACATTTATCCGACGTTCTTACGGTGAAGGCAAACATTCACGATGTTTACCTTCACCGTACATATCGCTGTGAGAAGAAATTCAATATGTGTGAAGTCAGTCAAGAAGTGCTCAAGAGCGGTAGAACCCGCTTTAACATCTTCGGACAAATTGGCCCGACTCGCCCGGTGAAATACCACCACCACACAGAAAACACATGAAGTGAATTCCGCGTTTCGTCCGATGAGTGTGCGTCCCGGAGGCCTAATTTAGTCCTCTTTCCCTTCCCACCCTTTTTCTCATAAGGAAAGGATGGGAAGTGGAAGTGGACTTTTCGGATAAGAGGATGCATGGAAGGGGAAAATGTTTTCATTCTGTGCATCCTCTCCTTCGTCGATTAAAGGTAGACAATGCATATGCGATTGCGTATGTCTATGGGCAACGGTCACTTCGCTATTTCAGCGATTTCAGGTGACCGCTCGCTCGTTTGCCACCATTTGATATAAAAAAAATGATCAGCGCCATCTAGTGTCCTATAATTACTAACCAATATCGCTAATTTCTTGTTGCTAGCTGTCGCCCGCGACTCTGTCCGCGTGGATATATAAAAAAACTTAATATATAGATAAGTTAAAAAAAGCAGCTCTTCTAGACATAAATTCGAAAAATTAAATAAAAAAAATTAATAAATAGTATCCTATGTCCGTCTCCTGGCTTTAAGCTACCTCCTCATCAATTTTCAGGCATATCGGTAAAGCCGTTCTTGAGTTATAAATAGTGTAACTAACACAACTTTCTTTTATATATATAGAAGATATCTTTATATATATAATTCTTCTGTGCGTGTGTATGTCACTGAACTTCTCTCAAACGACTGGACCGATTTTGATGAATTTTTTTGTGTGTGTTCAAGGGGATCTGGGAATGGTTTAGATTCACAATTTTGTCCGCTGGACAATGTTTTTTTAATAGTAGTTGTTGATTTTGGAATGTTTTACATTGGATCCGACAGACGGCGCTACCATCGCAGTGTCAAATTTTAAATAATATTCGAATTAAAGACGTGTAGACAGGACAACGTCTGTCGGGTCCGCTAGTGATATAGATAATTACAGTACTATTTTGATCAGCGCCATCTAGTGTCGTATAAGTACTAACCAATATCACTATTTTTTTGTCTCAAAGGTTCTGTGAAGTCGCATTGCGGATCTCTTTATTAGTCAGATTGTAAGCAAATTTCTACAATCAAATTTAAGCTTTAATAACAGAGATGTACATAGCTTCGGTACTTCAATATCAATTCAATTTGCGATACTTCTAAACCCGGACAGTTGTGCAAATCAAGTACTCCGCCATCTGTGCGCACACTCAATCAATAATATCGAGTTTGTACGAATCGACGTGTAGGTAACGTGACCAATTATTGTTTAACTTAAAACGGGACATTGTTTTTTTTAAATTATTCAAACTTTCGTGAGACATTATAATAAACTTATATAAAAAAACGGCTAAACGCTCACGTATATTCACACCTATTGTGCCGCCACCGGACGAATATAGTGAGTGTTTAGCCGTTTCTTTTATATAAGTTTATTAGTTTATTTATGTAAAATAAAACTGTTTTATGTTCTTTAGTACTGCCATTTCGTACTGGGTTCTCAGATGGGTTGACAGGTTGCGGTATCGGCACACCGTTCGCGTCGACCGACACGGTTTCTCAAATTTTCGCGCGGTATTAAAAACACGGGACAATTAGTCGTCGAATAATTCTTTCCGGGGACACAGAGACGATTCTATAAAAAGGGACAGTCCTGTTCAAAACGGTGCGTCTGGTCACGTGAATTATAGGGTCACCATCATTTCAACAATAGTCTGCGCTGTCGTTGGAACAACGCAAACAACTGACTACTTTATCATTGAGTCTAGTTGCCCTGAAAGCCCACGATACAGGCAATGCCTTGTGCATTGGAGATTTAAAAAATAAACATAAATAGTAACTTAACATCAAATTTAATTTAATTAATCAGTTATGTGTAATTTTTATGTTACTTTTAGACGTTATTAGTTAGAATCCTTTAGCGCAAATGACGTGCTTTCGTTACAAAGTCCAGTGTCAGAATGAATAGTGAGGGAACATAAACGTCGATATTTTAGTAAGGCTAGTGTGACAATACACTGGTCCATATTCGGATTTTCTTTCTAACAGTACTAGCTGTCGCCCGCGACTTTTCGCACGGAATTAAACAAAAACTTAATAAACTGATATAAAAACGGCTTAACAATCACGTACATTCGTCCGGCGGCATACGTGAGTGTTTAGCCGTTTTTATATCAGTTTAGTATAATGTCTCACGAAAGTTTCAATAGTTTAAAAACTTAATAAGTAGCCTAATCATTGTCACCCTACAAACCTATGTTTATTATTCGCAATTCATTTTCGCGAAACCAATCGAACATGCGCATTAATTAAAATTTTGTCACGGCAGCGACTGTACGGTGAACCGGTTACGACCGGTTACAGCCGGATAACCGGTTAATTGAAATTGAACATCGGCGATTTACATTTGACGTTATTGGTTAGAGTATTGGGTTAGTTACGTTAACTGTATGTCAAATAAATTTATTCCAATTTGTTTTGTGAACCTCAATGCGAATGTTTGGATGGATGTTTGTTTGAAGTTATCTCCAGAACTTTTGCATGGATCTCGCTGAAATTTTGCATAGATGTGGAGCAGTCTGGAAGAACACATAGGCTACTAATTAAGTTTATTTTTAATTTGGCGCGGACAGAGTCGCGGGCGACAGCTATTGTTTTATATTTCTAGATTCTCTATGGAGGGCTAACTGCCTTCCTCTCAACCCCCTAGTGATACCCAATATTTGTCTCAGTAAATCTCCACTGAGGAACTCATTATACAATGATTCTAAGGATCAGATTAAAACAAGACAGAAAAATCTTAATTAGTGTTTTTTAAATATATTTTCTGTATTTTGGAATACACTAAAATTTTAACGAATTCTCTTTACACCTGGCACGTGGGAATTACTAAAAGTTATTCTCAAAGTTTAGTGGAACGACGCTTTAAAACGTAGAGTACTTGTCATTAGTGGAAATGTTGCTTAAAAATAAAGTCTATGTTATAAACGAAATTTTATATAGAAAAGTTTTAATATACCTGCTATAAATATTCCAAAGCCTTTAAACTTCAATATCGCAAACTGCCCGAGTCTCGTACGTAAGGACAACAGGCCCGACTAGGGTTGCCACGTCGCTAAACATAATAATCGGACAGACCAGTCAGTTTGACTGGACTACATTATTAAAGATTTACTAACAAAAACCGTACAACCGACACCGTTCATTTTAGCCGGACATGCCATCAAAACTACCTATGTCCGGCTTTATGAATGATGAAGGTTTGATTTTCGCGCTATATATGTTGGTGACCTCCTATGACCTAAACCATTGAATCGATTTAAATGGTTAAGATGTTATTTAATTCATATTCATTCCCAGAGTGTTATAGGAACTTTTAACTGCATGTTTTTGTACTTTATGAGTGTAATATAACATTACATAGAAATGTTTAGGCATAATTCTGTACCGTACAAATCAAAACCAGTTATATCCAGTTGGAACTAGTTCAAACCAGTTTTCTCTATTCACAGATGTGGCTGTCGTGTAGCTGAGAGAAGATGGCGGGCTGCTGGCTCCTGCTCGCTCTCCTAGCAGCTGTACACGCGCAGAATAACCGCAGTAAGTTACTTCTTTATCATACTTGATACAGGCTCTTTCATATATTCTGCAGCTAAGGTCAAGTGCGTAACGTATCGAGACAAAGAGCAATATTCAGAGCCGAAAAGATATTTGAAACTGGTTGTTATCAAAGATTATTGTTAGATACTAGCTGTATCCTGTGACTCCGTCTGCGTGGAATTAAAAAACTTAATAAGTAGAGTGGAGTGGTCTTTCTATGTTCCAAATTTCGTAAAGATCCTTTAAGCTGTTCTGGAGATACCTTCTAACAAACATCTATGTAAATTTTCGTAATTATAATATTAGTAAGATAGTAAGATGTTGTACCGTCAAATGGATGGATTTATAAATAAATGTGACATAAAATGCAAATGATAAAATAGTTGTGTACATTACCGCGAATATAAAAGATACGAAACAAACATATTAGAAGTATTCTTAACCTGTTCATTGTTCGACTCTCGTGTATAACTAGCATTACAACTCCAGAACTTTATGTACGTAAAACTAAAAGCGTACTAAAAGGCTTTCCTTTTAAATCACGTGCCCATTTAAAATAGTCAAAGTTCCTCGCACCGGTTCAAACCGGTTCGGAGTGGTTCAAAGTGGATTTATCCTGAAACTAGCGCTAGTGAGACGTGCCTAACGAATCTGACAGCTTTTAATATTGCCTCCTTTGATTCCTGATTTTGTTTATGCTTCTTTAAGCTATTAAAGTGGAAATTTCGTAGACAAGAGTTGAACAAAAAAATTTAATAGCTTCATCAACCTTAGGTCTATAGAGGGTCGGCACAGTATGTACTCCTCCATACAACTGTATCAACGATATCTCACGCAATACAAACTTTCTTTGGTCTTCCTCTACCTTTATACTATAATACATTCAATCTCATTATTTTTAATATCATCATCCCTCCGCATAACATGTGCAAACCACACGAACCTTTTGTTCCTTAATTTCTCGATTACTGACGCTACTTTCAAAATAAAATATTTAAATGGTCACTGAGAGATGGATAACTTAACGTTACGTCTCTCGACAGTATAACAAAATATTGCCTTCTTTTTCATTCTTTGTATAAACAAAAAGAGATAGCAATGTTCTTTAACAAAAAAACAATTGACAACCAAACAAAAACCATTGAAACAATATTAAATAGTTATTATATCAAAAGGATAAACTTCCAAACAACTTACCCGAAAAACATATTTCTTAGCCAAATATTGGGGAGAATAAACTACAGCCTGGCAACACCGGAAGAGGCGACGCGGCGCGTTTATGCCGACTTCCGGCGGCCATTACCCAACGCCCGAAACGTTTTCCCGCCTTATTTCATTTTTATTTTTTTTCGGTTCACCTTTATTGCTTTATTTTATAGTAAATGCGATTTATTTTCCGCTTCCTCGCACATTCAAGTTACTATATGGAAACATAGAAACAGTTCTACATCGTTGTGAATATTAAAATATTTGTAGTCTTAGAAAAACGTGTAAATCACGGGATCAGCCAGTATGTCAAGCAAGATCAGCCAGATATATTTAACAGAGCCCGCTTTAACATCTTGGCAGGAATTGTCTGGCACGGTGTAATACCACGACCACAAAACACGTCTACAGTGCGAAGCTTTCCCAACTACAATCTGATGAGTGTGTTCCGATGGCCTCTTTTTCTTCCCATCGTTTTTCTTATAAGGAAAGAATGGGAAGTAGAAGTGGATTTTCCAGAGGAGAGGATGGATTCTCATGCATCCTCTCCCTAGATCTCTCCCTGGACAGAAGTCCATCCTCCTTCGATTAAATGTAGGCAACGCATCTGCAATTGCGTTTGCGATTACAGGTGGCCGCTCGCTCGTTTACCATCTCATGATATATAAATTAAAAGAAATAACAGTATATTTGTAGGATAAAAATATTAAGTATTAATTCTAGTATCAAGAAAATAAACGAAAATAACTTAGTAACAGACTTTGTATAGAACAACATAAGAAACGTTCTTCCGTTCCGATACACACAACTAAAGGAACCATTCATACAATCGAACTTTCCAGAAAAACTCTTTGGATGAGTCAACTTTCGACATCAAGTACAAACGGACAGTAGTATACTGTTTATATTATACATTTATGTATGTGCATAACAATAATCCAATACTGCGACTAAAATATAGCTATCTCCCGCGACTCTGTCCGGGTGGAATTAAAAAAAACTTAATAAATAGCCAATGTGTTCTTCCAGATTATGTTCTACATCGAGATCCATACATACGTTCTAGAGATCCCTTCTTAAATCCAACCATCCATCCATCTAACCTTTCGCATTTATAATATTAACTGTCGCCCGCGACTCTGTCTGCGCGGAACTTAAAAAGAACTTAAGTAACCTATGTGTCTTTCCAGACGTATGTTCTACATATTACGAGTACAAATTATATCAAGATCCGTGCAGCTGTTCTGGAGATACCTTCTAAGAAACATACATCTAAACATTCGCATCTCGATATACAAAAGAAAGTGGTGTTAGTTACACTATTTATAACTCAAGAACGGCTTTACCGATATGCCTGAAAATTGGTGAGGAGGTAGCTTAGAGCCGGGAGATGGATATAGGATACTATTTATTGATTTTTTTCGAATTTATGCCTTGAAGAGTTGTTTTTTATTTAACTTACTAATATTATAAATGCGAATGTTTAGATGGATGTGATGTGGATGTGTGGGCTGGTTACTCTAATTAAGTTTTTTATAAATCCACTAAGGACGGAGTCGCTGGCCGACAGCTAGTTTATAATATTAGTAAGTTTAATAAACATTTAATAATAAAGAATTATACGTATATAATTTTAGGTTGATTTATTCAGATAAAGGTCAACCGTTTAATTCTCAAATTGATCAAACTTTGATATCAATATAAACAAAAACATAAATTAGTTTCATTTTAAATAAACGGCAACAAATACTAAGACTTTATGTATCTGTCACCGATCGATTATGAAATCCGACAATTACTAATCTGTCTAAACTAAATATAAAGTCGGCGAATTGAATATGAAACGAATGCATTCATATTTTGATGCCAACACAATAATAATGTAAAGTGTTTGACCCTTCGTACACAAAGTAAATCGTCGAAACGAATATAGTATTAGTGAGCTGAGGGCCGCGTCCGCGAAATAATACCAGTACCACTCATCCTGATGAAGGGTCCCCGATGGGCTCGAAACTAGTCGGTGCCGCCACCGGACGAATATACGTCAGTGTTTAGCCGTTTTTATATCAGTTTATTATAATTTGTCACGAAAGTTTGAATAATTTTATACTGTATGGTTGCGTCGTACACGCAACGTTGAATAGCCGACGCGAGTCTATTCGGTCAGCGGGGTATGACAAAGTGACGCTTTGAAGCGATTCAATAGCAGACTTCAAAATTGTATAGAACTAACTGACAATCACGTGACTTATCGAATATTATTATCAGTTCTTTAGATTTTTGAAGTTCACTATGGAATCGCTGTGAAGCTAATGCTCTTAGTCAACTGTATTTGTTCCGCCCCGCCATCTTGAAAATTGCAATGTTTCTCATGACGATCGATTGCAAGCGACTTTCTTTAAGTATTACAAAAATTATATATATCTGTAAAATAGTACGCATCAAAAGTATGTAGATGTCGTTTGTTCTAAAAAAAAATTTAAGCACATTATAAATACCCGGATTTGTCGATTTACCGGTGACATTGAAACGTTCTTAGAACGTTTTACAATTTAAATGGAAAGCCCTCGAGCTATCAAATAGAAGTTAAACTTGGAATTGTTATTGGCACAGATTAATCTGTTTCAGAGCGTTTCTCAATTACAAAAGTTTCTCTGTTTCTTAAATACTCTGTGTAAATTATATACGTTATGAGTGAGAGAACCAAATAATGTGATCATCAGTTCATACGTCTTCACTGAGGGTGTCGGAACCTACTCAAAGTGAGAGTATGTGATAGTGAATGCTGGCCCATTGCATGACTTAACACATATATTTGAGTTTGTCAGATATGTGCAGCATCACGATATTTTCCTTCACCGTAACAACATAAATGTATATATGTAAACCGGAAATCGAAAACACCATTGGCGGGATTTTAAGCTTAACACCTGAGCCATTGACGCTCAACGCTTGATACGAAGCGGATGGACATATATTTGACTAGACGTCAATATAAGAATTGCTTGGTTGAAAAGTCTACTTAAAAGGTTCCGCTTTCACTGAGTCAGGACTAGAGGATGATTGTTTGTTTCTGAGACCAAAATCTGTGTATAAAACATATTTTCAATGACATTATCTTTGAAAAAACAGATAACTATATGTTATAAAAGAAGATTTTGGTTTCCGAAACCCGAATTAAACTTCAAAAGAACTCTGCCAGACAATAAACAAATATATCTCTGGTTTAAGATTATAAATTAAACAGAATACGAAACAAGTTAATCTGATTTATTTCCCAAAAGTAGCCATAACGTAAACTGCTATAAGTAAGAAATATTCATTAACTGACAACAATAGTAAATTTACAATTTCCGACCTTACCCGCCCTAACCGGAAACATCCCCCCCACACCAGACTCGTAGAAACAAATCCTTACAAAAGGGGTGGGCGGATTGTAGAACCAATTAACCCATACAATTTATTGTCGTACCAAAGAAAAACAAAAATATAACGCAATTAACGCGGGAATCTTAAGCCAATGTCGGAAGTGACGTAACGAGCGGCTCCCGACTTCCGTTGGTCGACGTATTTACTACTTCCGGTACAGAGCTGATCTTACACTAGCGCCACAAAGGAGACTGAAAACACTAGTTTTTGCAATTTCATGAATTTATTTAAATGCTAATGTTTACTAATTTCTACTACAATTGAAGACACTTTATCAGTGGTAGAGCCTGCTTTAACATGTTGGCAGGAATTGTCTCACCCGCTGCAATACCACGACCACATGACACGCGTCAAATGCGTAGCTA